GGCCCTTCACTTCACCAAGAATAATTAGTTAAAAAGCTCAGACTTAAACTTGTAACTTTTAGGCTAGATTGATACATAGAATGATAGAATGATACATTTCACATACATGTCGTCCATTAAATACTCAGTTGTATGACCTTTAATTTTCGTTTCGATGAAATAATAGTTAATTATTCAATAATTTTATAAAAACCTTTTTTTCTGTCAAAGACTTTGGAATAAAAGTTTGGTTAAATCGTATACCTAAAGATGACTTTTTGCAGTTTATTCAGAAGCTTCATTAGAAATTATTCTGCTAGTTGGAAGTTTTATTTCTTGAAATTACGTAAATGAAGTGTAAATGTATAGTTTCTTATATCAATATTGTTGACATATTGTGTACACAAAGTACATATATTTAAGTTTAAAATAATTTACTAATTTAAATTAACTAAACTACAATCATTCGTTGGCTTTTCTGTTTAAATGAATTCGTAGGGGAACATCACACAACATTTTCATATACACTATTACAACTAAACGAATTATACATGGTATTTCTCAATCTAACTTAATTTTGCTTGATTGAAAAAAAAATAGTAAAATTAATTTTAAAATTAGCCTTTAACCAATTTATAAAACTTACTTTGATTGATTAAGTAAATATATTTAATAAATTTAAAACACAGGTTCAGCAAATTACAAAGCAATATTTCAATGCAATTTTAAAACATAGCAGTATATGAAACAAACCCTTTATTCTAACCTTTATATTAACCTGGTTTGAGTTAAAATCGCTTGGTTGTCGAAATAGTAAATACCATGAATTCACGAATACATTTTGTTGTTTTTTCATGGTCTGACGAAGTTATGGTTGTGGTTAGTCAAAACATCATATTTAAACTTGTCCATTACTTTTCATCAACTATGTAACATTGTAACAATGTAATTATGTAACATTGTAACTATGTAACTATGTAACGTTGTAACTATGTTACATTTATTGATATGTCATCATAAGTAAATTGTAAACTTTATGGCAGTACTACTAACATGGCGTGCCGCCATTTTGACATTTTTAATAATTGTATTAAGATATTTTTTCGTGGGTCTGTAATACCTTAACACACTTACACATTTTTTAAAATAATCGATTGAAAAAATTCAAAGAAAAAATGTTTATGTGAAAACCCAAAATGGTGTATATCTGGCTAACGAAGTGATTTTGGAAAAAAAAAGTTATTCATTATTTTATCTTTAATTTGACCCATAGAACAATTTTCCGGAGTTTGGCTGTTTGCGTTCGAGACACATTGTGTATGATATAGTGCCGATGTTTTCAAAAGTTGAAATACTATGATCAAAAACACATTTACAAATATTAATATTCGCTCAGTAGTAGAGCCTATTTAAAATCTCGATAGTGCATGGGAATGTAATAATTGATTTAAACATTATAAACGTAGAGTTGACATGTTTATAAATAGATAAATGATATTGACACAACTACGGTTAAATCCGTACATTATTTACATTTAATTGAAGTCAAACAGTCAATTGATCGATTTACCTATTTCGTTTTTCAAATTAAAATTAGATAAGGTTTTAATTGGTTTATATTTACCGATCGGATAGATTATTGATGTCGGTTTCTAATATTTTCCAAATAAATATCTTTATGTATAATTTGAGCTTTATTAAAAATAGCACACTTAGATAACATACAAACGTATCATTGAATAATAAAAAAATATAGTTTATCTACGGTATAGGCTATTCTTAAGTATTTTAAGGTATCCAAACTTATCTTATCTTTAATTATCTTCTTACTATCTCACGTCGACCTCTTGTTAGATGTTATCGTGATAACCAATGACAAACAGTATAGATCCAGTACCAATGTCGCTTAAAATGTAACCAGCGACCTTCAGATCAAAAGGTGAACCCTAACAGTTCTGCAGGCCAGGAAACTTAAGTAAATATTGAGAAAATTTTAGATATATTATATCCTAAGCAATTTAGAGGTGACATAGTAACGAATCACAAATACACTGATTATAAAGATAAGCAGTCTACCCAATACGCTTGTAATTAATATCCAATGTAACATGCTCGTCTACATGAAGGCTATATTACATGTAGTGTAAGGTGTCAAAGCTGTGACCGAGATACATTGTGGTAGTAATCAATAATTATTGCAACTGTGATTAAATTTTAAGTATTTCTATATAAGAACTGATTCATCTTAAATAACAATTGAGCATTTGCATCTATAGAATTTATTAAAAATTTTAGTAATATATGTAAAACCATAAAAGATTCAGCTAAAAGAAAAACTATTCTAAATATACACATTTGCCAAATGCCAAAACAATAAGTAAATATTTCGCTTGTTTATTTTATTTGCATGCAAAATCTTAAAAAATACATTATTCAAACCTGGTAAAATTGATCCGTGGAATAGTTTTTCTTTACCTGAAATAGAAAGAATAATTTAAGATTATTACAACCACAACTATTTTCAGTTTTTCATAGAGATATTTAGGATCTTCAGTGCACTAAAGAGGTTATTATTTTCAATTAAGATAAAATAAACAATACAGCGATGAGTTTATGATCAAATCTATTGATAATTTTCACGGGGATCGAAAACCCGTGCGTTGAGTCTAGACCACCTCACCCCAAACAAAACTCATTTTTTGCCTAATAAACTCATAATTAAATTCATATTCATAAGAAACGGATTTCATAATGATAATTCTATACTTAACTCATAAATAAAATCTTTTGATTAAATATTTATCTAAGTGATGTCAAGACCACAAAGGCCACAAACTTAAAGTAATTCGAAGAGGTTCCGGAGCCTAGCGAAGAGTGTTTGTCGGTGGAGGACCGTTTGGCTTTATAATTTGAAATTTAAATTCACGTTAAGTATATTTTATAGTGTATATTCACTCCACTGTTTAGTCGAGTAATGGGGTGGTTTTCATACACATAATTTGAATTGCAATTTCGGGAATAAACATTATCTAAGTAACACTTTTTAAGTGGAATTGTTAAAACGTTCACAATGTTAAACGGTTTCATTTCAAGTTTTGTGTTAGGTGGAATGGGAAGTTGGATAGAAAACGGAATAACAAGTCTTTAAGCCATCAATGGCTAGGTATTCAATAATATACGGATGGCTACTAAATGTTAAGTTATACATATGCATAATGCAATATGTATAACCATATCATCTTGCTGCACACAAGTGCACTTAATGTTCATCACGCATTGTAAGGGTATTAGCTTGAAAAAGGTAAAAATACACTCTCAGGAAAACAAAATTTTGTTTACGAACTTTAATACATAACAGCTGTCATCCAAAATTATGACTATTCCTTATCAACATGAGTGTTCTTATTCACAGCATCATTCTTCATCAGTCTTGAAATGGCACTGGTTTCTGCAATAACATCTCTTTTGATTTGCATAAACGCATCTAAACCTGTAATTTAGATATAATAATGAACATTCCGAATGACCTTCGTCGAACATTACCACGTGGATTTTCGATAAATATTTCACAACTAATAACTTTCATGGATATTTTAATTTATGCTTGATATCATTAAAATAGGTACTGTAGTATGTTTATCTTTAAACAAACTGTTTCAAGTGCTGGTCCATCAACAAACTTTTGTCATTTTCATCAGGCTTGTTTATCAGAATCATATATTTTTGTCAGATTGTAGTAGTTTTACCATCAGAAAGTGGACATTTTACTACCACCTTGCAAGTTTACTACGAAACCACAAAAAATCTATCACAAGATTGCAATATACCTAATTGTATAAATAATTAGTGTTGAATATTTTTTTTTGTGTGTTTTAGTGCCAGTGGCATTTTTTACCTATTGAAAGGTCGAAAACCTAGTCTTGTTACTATCTAACGTCGACCTTTATGTTAGATAGAATTATTCATAGCCCAATGACAAAAGGCATCTGAGTCTGGAAACGATCTCGCATGAATTGAAAACGGCGACCTTCAAATCTGAATTTGAAGGCGAAAACTATAACCTACCCAGACAGTTAATTAATTAAAATTATTATTGTCTGATAATATTAACATTCTCTTTATATTGCCAGACTGTTAATGTATACTCCTAATATAGTAATTTTGCATAACATGGCATTTTCTGTGTTATCAAAACAGCCGACAAGCCAGATTGTAGTCATTTGAACAAACCCCTCTTGTCAATAGAATAACAAAGAGAGAGGTTTGGCTTCAAAATCGTTGACAGAGTCAAAATAAACAATCGACTCATTTGCTCCACAAGCAGTAACGTGTATGGTCAGCTATTAACTGTACCAACCTCATTAAACGCGTTTTGTACTTTGTGTTAAAGGTTAGTTAGTGTGTAAAGTCCTTAGTCAGTGTGAAGGATAATACATCAAAGTTTGATTTTTAGTTTTAGTTGCCTCTACACAATGCAAGTATTTTGAACTTCTGGAGTGTTTTGATCACAATTTACGGACAATTAAGTTGAAAACCCTGCAAATTACAGAATACAAATGCCCCTGCTTACAACCAAAAAATGCAATGGTCGCTGTAACCTATCAAGTAAATTAGTGAAGTTTGTGCTGATACACCAACACTTATTAACTCGACTTTTCGTACCTTGTGAACGAATGTAAAAAATGTATCAATGTAATCAATGTATCGATCAATGTAAAAACATGACGTCAATTGGGTTTTGGTTTATCAAATTTCAATTCAAAAGAGCAATCGTATAAAACTTTAAATCACTGTAGACAAAATTAAAAGAATAAACTAAAGATAAATTAAGAATGAAACAAAATAACCTCTTAATAAGCATAGTGCTGTTATAAAATTACCTGGGAGAAAAAAAAATAACACGTCAAATAACTTTTACATTAATAAATTTACACTTATGCTGTTTATTTACAAGACGCAATGTCACAAACACAACAAGATATCAAAGTTTACAAATAGTGTTTTTTGGTAGTACATGATACCTGGGTATTTTGAGGGCGATCTCGTCCAAGCTGTCCGAGGGGGTGAGTGGCGTCCTCTCGAACAGTCTGCTGGGCGCTAGGGTGAGGTTTGACCGCAACATGCCGCATCCCGTCCCGTTCTTGGTCCTCTTCCTCTTATTCTCCTCCTCCCGCCGGAGGTTGTGCAACCGGAAGAAGAACACTGACATTCTAACACAAACATTGATCCTCTTACAATGTTAAACGGGTAGTAGGGAAAAGGAAATACTAGCTTATCATTGCAAAATTTGATTGGACTCTGTCTTTGACTGTAGATAGAGGTCGAAGACAGCATTTTAGGTACATTTCCATGTTACAGTTTATTAATTTTTGTGTCTAGTCTTGGCAGTTATTTGTTTTGATTGTATTGGCAACTCTTGTATTATTTTTTAAGATAGATGATTGATTGAAAACCCAATGACAAATATTGACATATGGGTAAATAAAACAAAATTTGAAGACAGTTTAGTCACACGATGCAACCTATTTGAGCTAGGTGTCATACAGAGTGTCTTGACTACTGATTTATGACATACGAAAACTTATTAACCAAGATTGAACTACGGCATGTTGGTTATGACATAATTTATGTCATATAAAAAAATAATTGAATAATAAGTGAGAAAAAATCATTTTGATATTAGTTAATTGTGTGAGTGGCAAATTATTTTAATGAAAACATGTGGCTTCATCAGATTAAATGAATGCTTTGTTTACCATCATATTCAAACAAGTACAAATTTAAGTTTTAATTTACCGTAAGAATTTGACAAATCCTTGTATGCTACAGTATACAATGGATACGATTGATTAGTTAGCCTACAGGACGGTATACAAGATTCTTAAGATATAATAAAAAAAAATCTTAAAACAGACAAACCTTTAAATAATCCAGTAAATTTGTATTTAAATTCACTCATAGCGAGGAAGTTTTGGGGTAGTTTTGATTTTTTCCATTTCTTATGTATTTTGGGGTGCTGAATCCGAATCTGAGGTTTGCCAACAAAAATTCTTGACGCAACATTGACAAAAATGAGAAAAATATGGAAAAAATGATATTTTTTGTAATATTTAGCTTATAACTCAGAAACTATCAACTTTTTGTAATTAGTCTATATTATAAAAATTAAAGTACACAAAATTTGCTACAAAATGTACCCCTAATGTGGTAATCTCCGATGAACCGTTTAGGCTCCAGAGCTATTTGAAAATTGGAACATTTTGTGTTAGTTTTTAAATTTCTCCAATTATTCTGTCAACGACACATATTCATTGTATATGCCCAGGCAAAGGTCTTATATTAATTAAGATTAATTTTGTGTTACTGAACCGTTGAATTTTTATTTTGTGTACAGAAAAGATACACAAACTGTTGCCGTTTAAATTATCCTCGCTCAGAGGGTTGTAATGAGGCAGGTTCTGGCAAACGTTTCGATGCATTATTTGTGAGCATTCTAGCTTGTTCATCTGGACAAAAAAGGTTAAAAGTAAAAAAAAATACACATAATAATAAGTGATACCAAAATCATAACTATCAAAATTAAAATAACAGCAATCTGTTAATCATGCAATATCGTATGCACCTGATGACGTGATATTTAGATATACGTGAATAATAAAATGTTATGTATGCATATACTGTTGCCAAGCATTTACATTGTGTGTAGATTTAACAAGTTAATAAATAAAGAGATGTGCGTTTGGTACTTACTTTCTTACTTACTTAGACTCTAGCATCACAGCCCATTGTACGTCCTCAATCGTATTGGCACCCATTATAAATTGTTCTGTGTAAAAGTTCAAGACCGATGTATGGCTTAGAGTGATTGGCACTGTTACCATAGGCCAATACTAATTTTTTTTCACCCGAATGTAAATGTAAACTCTAAGCGAGTTATGTCTACGCAGCTGCTTGAGTTGGGGGCAATGAGGCAACGTTGGTTTTAGTTTTCTAGCCAAAATTTGTATTGACTATCTTAAGTCAATTAACCCTTACCACTCTCATGTAGGCCTATGCCCTACGCCCTAGGACCTACAATCTATTTAATCTACACACAATGTAAATGCTTGGAAACAGTATATGCCTACATAACATTTTATTATTTACGTATATCTTAATATCACGTCATCAGGTGCATAAGATATTACATGATTAATTGATTGGTGTTATTTTAATTTTGATAGTTTTGATTTTGGCATCACTTATTATTATATGTGTAATTTTTTTATACTTTTAACCTTTTTTAAATTGTCCAGATGAACAAGCTAGAATGCTCACAAATAATGCATCGAAACGTTTGCCAGAACCTGCCTCATTACAACCCTCTGAGCGAGGATAATTTAAACGGCAACAGTTCGTGTATCTTTTCTGTACACTAAATAAAAATTCAACGGTTCAGTAACACAAAATTAATCTTAATTAATATAAGACCTTTGCCTGGGCATATACAATGAATATGTGTCGTTGAAAGAATAATTGGAGAAATTTAAAAACTAACACAAAATGTTCCAATTTTCAAATATCTCTGGAGCCTAAACAGTTCATTGGAGATTACCACATTAGGGGTACATTTTGTAGAAAATTTTGTGTACTTTAATTTTTATAATATAGATTAATAACAAAAAGTTTATAGTTTCTGAGTTATAAGCTAAATATTACAAAAAATATCATTTTTTCCATATTTTTCTCATTTTTGTCAGTGTTGCGTCAAGAATTTTTGTTGGCAAACCTCAGATTCGGATTCAGCACCCCAAAATACATAAGAAATGGAAAAAATCAAAACTACCCCAAAACTTTCCCGGTAAAAACACAAATTAACTGAATTAAAAATATTTGTATTTCTGGTAAAATATTGTACCAGTGAACGAAACGGGTAAATACATCATTTTAGTCAAAGTTTGCAATGAATGAATGCAGGATTTAAAACTAACTACATCACATTCTGGCTTACACACAGTGCAATCTACTCGTAAAAGCAACATTCAAACATCATGCTACAGTAAAAAAAAGACAACAACAAAAACTGACATTAGTTAGTCCTAGCAGTGCAACTATCAAATAACCTTACTGAAGGTGTTAAGTGTTGATTTGAAATTAACAAGAAATATATAAAATCGTATTTTGTTGTGTCACATGCTAACATGCCTCGGCGTGCGTCAAATATATCTTATATTCCATTAGGCCTAAACATTATAGTTTATAATTAAGTCAAAAAATTACATGAAATAAAAATAATTGATAATATCGTGTTATAAAATTAACAATTATGTGGGTTTGCTACAATGTAGTGAGGATTTTCTAAACACATCTCTCTACTTCCCGTGTTTTGTATGTATATTTTTAGTTAACAAAGAAAAAAGCTCTTAGTTTTAATAAGTTTCAGGATATTCTATGCACTTAAGAGGACAAGACAATATGAAACAAGAGATACCTAATAATTTTACTCGAGTGCAAAGACATTATTCACTGGATTTTTAGAAGTTTGTACTTACATTTGTATGTGTCTCAATAAAACACCTCAAAATAAAAACTGAATAAATGACCTAAGGAGTGAAATAAGCTATTTTAACATATTAAAAGTAGGTTTAACTACGATTTAATTGGCGCCTCCTTCAAACTATAGTGATTAGTTGTTTGAAAATTATGCTAACACTGGTTTTCAACGCAGTTTGTTCGATCAAAATAAGTGAAATATATATAAAAACTCACTTTTCTTACAAGGGATATACGGTATATTATTATGTTGCAGGAGTAAAAGGGTATATTAAATTCAAAACTAAAGAAATTGTTGAACACTCTCAATTAATCGTTAATTTAACAAATGATATTTAAAATATAGAGAAACAACAGAACATTTACCTACGAAAAGAAGTAGGCCTAGTATAACTGAGCTTATTGGTGGTCTTGACATATTGAATTATAATAGCATTTATTTATTATCTAATTATATAATTCCGATTAATAAACAAATGTAAGTGCAGAATTTATTCTAACCTCCATGACGGTGATTGCAGCTTTCGACGACTTCGCCGTACTGTGACAAAAAGAGGATCAAATTCGCGATTGCCCAGTCAAGTTAAAATGAGAAGCACGTAGACTATTTAACAGTCTCTTGGACAGGTGTCGTCACGTTCTGGCTGTTAAATTATCAATCACCGTCCCTGACCTATCCAACCGGTTGCGTCACGAATGGAACTGGTATTTAACCATGCTGTAAAAGTAACAGTTACATGTGACATAAAAGTAACAGTTACTTGTTACATAAATGTAACTGCTACATATGACGTAGATGTTACAGTTATATGTGACAGAATTGTGCCAGTTAAATGTGACAGAATTGTAACAGTTACATGTGACATAAATGTAACAGTTACATGTGACAGAAATGTAAATGTAACAGTAACAGCTTGTATCTCGGTGTATTGTCATTGTGACAGTAGGCTAGAATAATTTATTGTTGTATGGTATTAGAGAATTTGGTTTTCCGATAGAAAGATGGATATTTATAATCTGTTCCTGACAAATCTAAATTTTTTTGGGGTTTAGACGGATTGGATTTAGACTACACCTTAAGGTGAGTATCATATACGTAATCCAAACGTTATTAGCGATTGGCGGAATTTTATTCTAGGCAGCTAGGACAGAAATATGGTGCCTCACCCCTTGACCAGCCATACAATACTTAGTGAAAGAGGTTTTGAAGGTTTGACAGGATACATTACTGTGTAAGTGAGTTGGTGTAATTGGGCAATTGGTTAAATGACTTATTGACGTTTTTGTTCCTACCTGATGATGGACTTTTAAGTCTGAAACTATAGTAGTAAACTACTGAAGGAGGATCACTTGACGAAGCCAGGTAACATAAACCATTTGGCTATTTGAGTAAGTTTGAAGAATCATTGTTTCAAGCACCGATTGGCCAATTAATCTCAATAAGATCTTTCTCCAAAAACTGCTTAGACCCAACATCATGCTTAAGAAGTGTTGAAAGACAGGGTGGCTATGTTTTTCTTGTGTCGTTATCTCGTCACTTCTTTAGGTTAAAAACAATGATATGAAACAAAATCTAGTAAATACGTAGTTTAGAGGAGTGTTAAAGGATTACAAAAAATACCAAAAATATACTAGTTACATTGAGTTTAGGTATCTCTTTGCAAATCTCCAGTAGTGC